AAGATTTTCGTAGAACATAGCAACGACTTTTTAGCGACGGCTTTTCAATTGACTTTGAAGATTTGCCAAATCCTCACTCCCACATACTTTCTTCGATTGCACGTAGTATTTACGTGACAATCTCCAAGTTGTATCACGTCGTACTATTGATTCTTACTAATGGGCTACCTTGTGAGAATGACACGGCAGGATGTATAATTAATAGAGTTTAACCACCCGTATATGTCAATTTTTACGTCAGTAAAAACTATTTAACTCTACTTGTTATACATGAAACAGGTAAAAAATGAATTTTGAGAAGAACGCAAAACATGTGGACAGCAACAGGATTCGAACCCTCACCGGCCATCTGTAAGTCCGAGACGCTAACCACTACACCACACGACCACAGTCGGAGCATTTGTGCGTTCTCTAGACATGCACACGCCAAAAACTTTAGAGGGCCATAACTTGCTTCACAATAACGCGTCGCAGCTAATGGGCGCACATTTGATACTAACCTCCCGAGCCCCGCGTCCGGGTGTATACCACGTATCAATCGGCCATTTCGATTCGGCGAACTTCCCTTGTTAGCTGCGGGACTGGAAGTTGGTGCAAGGGGGGGTAAGTGAGGGTGCTGACTATGGATAAAAGTTTACTTTATCGATTTTGTCATTTTTTGGAAAATCTTGAGCTACGAGATTGGGAGTTGGTACAGGGGGGGGGGTAAATGAGGATGCTGATCAAAACCGGAATCTATTTTATCGATTTCCGCGATTTTCGGAAAATTTTGAGCTAGGAGTTGGTATAGGGGATACGAGGGTGCTGATTATGAATATATCGGCTTCAGCCAGATATGTCAGCAAGTTTGAGATATGGTTGCTCTAGTTAGTCGATAAATCATTCGAATATTTATTCGAAATTCGGCTCCCAATGTTCGAATATAATCGATATTCATTCATTCGATATTTTTGAATTTCCGTTATTCAAAATTCATCCATTCGAGAATTTTTAAACCTCGAATTTATTCGATATTGTTTATTCGAGATTTTTTATTTGCGCATTTATTTTCGATAATCGTTTATTCGAAATTTTTCCTTTGCGAATTTATTCGATATTCATTCATTCGATGAAAAATTTTCGAATTACCCAAGTATACTAAACAGGTATGTAAATCAGCAAAATCGGTATCACAGCAAAAATCGTTGATAAAAAATTTTTCAATTGATTTCTCTCTTAGATGCCATATTCCTGTGAAGCTTCCTTCAGGGGAAAGTTTTGAGCTTCTCTTATCGCCAAATTTCATGCACTCTGAGCTGCAAAATAAATTCCATGAAAGGATGCAGACTCCAAAACTGTTAAGCATCGTAGATCTAGTCTGACGTCGTCCGCATGTTTTCGAGTGTTTTCCGGCCATGCTGTCGTCTACACGCCTTTTCTTTCTGGACTAGATTTACATTAATAATTACAAAAAAGCCCATAAATTCTTTTGAAGAAACGCTCTGCGGATGTAAAATTCAGCGCCATTCGACTAAGTGACTTCTCTGGCAAGAAACATTTCCATTGTCAGTTTACTTTTATTATTTTATTAGTTCCCACCGCTTTTCCTCCTATCATATCAGCTTCTTTATTGCTAGAAGAAACAAAACGATTTTTCAGAGGGGAACTATCGCAGGAATGTGAGAGACGAATGAGACATAAGCGCGAGCTAGGCGCGAAGAGGTTACTGCCTTTCAAGAGCGCGCTTCGAAAAAAGCGGCAGGCTTTTGGAGGATCCTGATACGCCGCCATTTCCCGAAGATGTACGAGTAACAGATAAATAGAGCAAACCCTATAGGAGACAAAACAACTTTTTTCTTTTCCTTATTTGCTTCTTAAAGTTTGTAGAATCAATTTTTCAGTGCTCTCAAGTTCCATATTTGGTCAAATCAAACCTCACAGAGCAACAACAGCAGACAATTCGAACGTCATTCGATGCAGCTTTTTTTCCTCTTTTTACCAGTTGTTTTTGGTTTCCGATTCATTGAGTTTTCCGAAATAAAATCATCATAATTCAAGTTTTCCAGGGCGCCCCAGGCTGTACGCGAAATTCGAAAGTTGCTAATCTGAAGCGTAAACGCTCATTTGCTTTGTAAAATTAGTGTAAAACCATAGTGCTGTTTCCCATAGGGTTTGTTCAATCCACATGTTACCTGGACTCCTTCGTAGGATTGATGTAAAGATTTAGAAAAATTGTGAAACTTGACCTTCTCAAAAAGCATGTGTCGCAGGTTTTGGTAATCTTTTGGAGCTTATCGAGTATTGTGCAATGGCCATATAACCATTAGAAAAAGAATGAAATGCTGCATCGAGTCTACCAAGATCTTCTAGAAATCTTGCTTCCACGAAATGTAGCGTTTACTTGAAAAAAGCCCTTCTGAACGACCTAACATTTTACTGTTACATTGATTTATTGATTATTATTATTATTGTGTTTATTTTAGCGTTGTGGTTTTTGAAACGGAAGTTACATATAATACTAAGTATGATGACTTTATTTTTGATATGTGAATTGTTTAGAAAGTCATTGTCGACAAGTGATAATTTGATGTATGAATGTCTTTTTTTAGTGAATGTATTTGACGAAGCGTTTCAGACTCAGTCTCAACTTCATTGATTGTCGTTATAGACTTTTCTATTGTTTCTGGATATGCTGTATTCAATAATTTGAGCCAAAATAATTCTTTGACAGTAAGAATATTCTTGTCCTCATCGCGTAAGTTGTCTGTGTTTTCTTTTATACTTCTCTTCGCGCATATAGTTTGGGAATGATCATAAAAGTAATTATGGACATTATTTTTATTAATACAGGGTGTCCCAAAAAGATGGGCACACTGTTTGATCGTTAATAACTCTCTTGCTTTCATGTCTTTCGCGAGCTTAAGGTACTGTTCTGTAGACCGAGGTTCAACTTAGATTTGCAGTGTGGAGCGAATGATCGATTGCTCTTCATTGCTGTAAGATTACGGTAGAAACTTTGAGGAGGATTTTAAGGCATTAAAAGCGGGTTTTTGCCAGTTTTTGCCTCAGAAAGAAAACCAATTAAGTCAAAAACTCTTATTCTGGACTAGTCGAAGTCGTTGACTCTAAATATGAAGTTTGCACTTTACTATAGCGATTCCTCAATAAGTTATTTCAATTTAGGGTAACAACTATTTGCCGGTGTTCGTCAGAAATGTGAATATGCCATCAAGAAAGCTCGAAAAACTCATGAAAACTCATATAGAAATCAGCACGCTCGAAAAACTTGCCACAAAATTTCAGATTTTTCGAAATTATTTCGTCAAAAAGCCTACAATACCGCCCATAATTCGTCAAAAAAGTCGCCGGACTGCGGCGCACTCCGCCACACTCCGCCACAGTGCGCCGGAGTGTGGCAGAGTGCGCCGGAGTGCGGTAGAGTGCGCTACACTCCGGCGCACTCTGCCGCACAGGAAACGGTTGTACAGGGATACGGTTGGGAACTTTATCATAGTGTTTTGACAGGACCGGGCGGAACCGGGTAAGCCAGCTAGTTTTTGCATAAAATATGCTTAATACATGTACTATGGTAGGCCAAAACATCATTGTGCTACATAGTATTTCGCGTGATGGGCGTATCTGACATTGCTAACGAATATCAGCCATCGCTAACATCAGAATCATTTCGATAACGACCCCCCTCACCTCCCTGACCTCTCAGTGAACTTACAGGTGTGGCATGCCCCCCCCCCCCCACGCTTGGCCCTAGTAATATCTCGGAGCGACACCGTTCCCTTTACCCTTTGCCTCAACCAGATCGGCGGCTGGAAGGGGGGGGGGGCTTCATAACCTAGGAGGGACTGTTCGCGTCCGCGACGCAGTCGCGCCTCCCTTGCGAACATGCTTTCCGATCGTTTTCTCTCCTTAATGAAATCATGGATCCCCGTAATCCAGCCGCCGATCTGGATGAAGCAAAGGGTACACTATCACTCACTTTTGAACTGTTTTGGATTTTCACTCTTTCTAAATCGCTAAAAAAAACTGTTGAACATATAAGCTTAATGCGGCTAGTTATGATAAAATCACTCAATGCGCGGAACTTAACAAATATTTTAAAGATTGAGAGAAAAGCTTTGTTTACTGTCGACTAAGAAAATGCGCTGAGGAGTTGATTCAATCAACAATTGTTGGCAATTTGCAGTTAGACTTGACTCGGGTAGTTTTAACTTTGCGATCATCCCAATGGAGGTTTTAAACTAGCGCTACACAACAGGAAGTAGCATCTGGAAGATGGTGCGACGTCGTGGAATAAGGAACTAAGACAGTTCTTTGTAGCACAGCCTCGTTTCGCGCTAGCTATATTATTTTAGCTAACAAATAATCACAGTGCACTGAAGAAGACTTCTACTTATTTCTCCTTTCTACATAAGCTTTGCTGTTGAAGGTAGAAGTGCAGAGAGAGTTTTGTAATTGTTGAAAGACGTGTTTGTTGCCTTGATAAGCTACAGTAATTTAATCACAATCTTTCTTGCTTAGACTTTGTACACGTTGATTTTCATTACTGAATTCAGCTACAGAACAAGTGTTTATTTTCTTTTGTTAACAATTTTGTAGCCCCCATACCATCTCACACTTCAGAGAGAACTTGAAAAATCTGCGAATCAGAAGAGACTTCGTTCTTGCAAATGCTTGAAGCCAGCGCGTGCTGGGTCCTCTCCTCAACTGCAAAAGTGGCAAGGATACAACGACTAACGGCTGCAAAAACTATAGCAGGCAGGTATAAAGGCTCCCTGAGTCTAAATGACAAGAGCCGAGCGGAGTCAGGTACAAGCGATTGTTGAAGATTAGTCCGGTAGTTTACATAAAAAAGAGTCATATTTTGGTGCGTACCAATGTTTGATATGGCTCCCTCCCGTAGAAGCTCTGATTAGCCAACGACCTATTTGGGCTGCCGGCGTTTGGAAGCGGCAGTTAGCATCGCTTCGACTTCAAAACAAAATCAACACCAAACGCTCACGAACCGGCTATTGCTTCCCTTCTCATCACTTTTGCTATTCACTGATCTTTCCTTGGATGTTCTGTGTGCTTGCTGTGGCAGAAGATAATCTCGTTCAGAGTCTCTGGAATTCAACGTTTTGATTTTATGGTTGAAATACTCACTTCTAAGATGTGTTTATGACCGTTTGAAGAAGGGGAAGAGTCTAGTAACATAGTGCATCCACGTAAGATCTTGACTTTAGACATTGCCAAGTTATTATTTGCATGCTTGAAAAAATTAGATGTTAGCCGCGCGATCGGGAAAATGAATAGCAAACTGGGTTGGTACTGCGCTTAACCGGATATGCGAGATATGCGACCTCAAATTCCTTGATCCAACGAATCCTTGTCGCCCAACTCCTTCCCTGCCCGTAAACAAAACTCCTCCAATGCCATTGTCACTCAAGTCTTTAGCAGCGTCCACCATAATTCCACCCACCCAGATTAGCATAAGGCTGTCAAGGTTTCAGGTGTATCCGAGCTGGGTAAGTCCGATACTTTGATATGGCCTCTAAAAGGGGATAAGAGCTTGTGATACGTATCACAAACCGCCTCTGGTACCACAAACCTGCAAAGCTGCAACTGCACTCATGCAGTGCATCTCCTCCCCGCTGACAAGCCGAGGGGATGAATAATTCGAAACTAGTCCGCGCCCTTAAAACAGAATCTCGATCCCTAGGGATTGGGTTTTTCGAAGTATTTGAACATTTTGAACTTTGCAATTGTAATCAGGACCACGGAAAGGCCCCAGAATAACGGAAACATGAGAGGTGAAATTGGGTGGACGAAGCAATTGCTCGGCAAAACTCTATTGCGCGAACTTCATTATTTCTAAGCCTTTCCAATGCGATGAGCCCAAGAACAACTCGAAATCTGTCATTAGTGTTTCATGACGTTTTTCGGCCTTGGAGGTTGCTGAAGAGGCTGAGTGAGATCCCCGCCAACTCCAAGGCCGGAGAAGGGCATAATAATTAATTTTAAAGGACTAGAAGCTAGGTCTGGACTCAGCGCATCAAAACCTGTGGGATGGAAAGCGCGCAGTAGCGATTTTGCAGAGCCGCTGCCTTCAAAGGCAGCGTTTGGGCAAGTAGTCAATTTTAAGATTTTTTACCTGGGCTTATGCTATCTGATCCCGACGACGCTGGAAGCGCGAAAACCGCGGACCCATTCTCTGACGCAGGAGGAAAAACAGCAGATGGGCGGAGCTTTCCACTCTCTGATTTTGAAACCGGAACGATTGCTCTTTAGGCGTCGAATATACCTCGCGCGATTTCTCCAAAAACGGCGGTACGCGAGCTGAGAATCTGCCAGATGTCTGCAAATCCGCCGCGTGCGGAATTTTATAAGCGTACTCAGACAATCGCTGGGGGCAGGCGGGCACCGGAAAAATAGATTGCTGATTTCTCGCACCCCGCTCGCGGATTTTTCGCAAAGCGATCAGGACTTTTCGGAAGACGGCTTGCTGAGTCAACGGATTTTTGAGAGACCGCCTGTTAAATTTTTTTTCGCGCTTATCTTTTGCAGATATATTGCTGAATCTCTGAGGAATCGAAAACTCAGCAAGCGGTCTTCGAAAAGTCGTGATTGCTTTCCAAAAAATCCGCGAGCGGGATGCGAGAGATCAGCAATCTATTTTTCCGGTGCCCGCCTGCCCCCGGCGATTGTCTGAGCGTAAGCTTATGCGTAAATGCCAAATCTTGCTTACAGTTTATGCGCCTGCGGAAGACTATGAACAATCGTAGCAATTAGAATTCGCGCGACGACGAGGTATGACCGATCCCTTAGTTGGAAGGGTGATTTCGAGAGTGGAAGACCAGTCCCACCCTAATTCTTCTCCTGGGTTAAAGACCTTTTTCATTGTTCGCGTTTTCCAGTGCGGATTTTTTAGGACTCAGCATAGCGAATAGGCCCAAGTAAGCAAAAATCTCAGAATCGACTTCTTCACCGGACAATGCCGTTATTACCCCCTCCCCCCCCCCCTCCTCCTCGCTTAGCTCTACTCTTCATCTATGTAGACGTTTCGCCTGCTGATCACTGCTTTGCCATTCTCATTACCTGCAAAAGCAACAGTTTCAATTCTAATATGCACTCATTAGGATGCAGAGACTAAGATTAGCATCTGTCAACACATATACGAATGCAACTAGGACCAAATTCGGAGTGTAAGTGCGCAGGAGGGGAGGGATAGTAACAATGTATTTCATGAAAAAATATATGAATCAAACGTGGCAAACTTTTTTCGAAGACAAAGGCACCATTCCCAAGATGGGGTCGATGAGATTCCGATGCCTAACAGTAACGGAGCTCTCAACTGCATATTTGCCCCGGTGCCGTTAAGTGGTCAGGCCACCTGGCGAGCCATTTGGCAAGCCACGGCTCAAAGGAAAGCAAAGTTGTAATTTTCTCCTCCTTTTCTTCCTGTTTCTCACATAACTCAGTCTACATCGTAATACTGGAATTTTGATACGTCTCAAACCTCTCTTCTCCGCTTATTACTGTCCCTTAAATCTCTAATTAGTGGAATTAATCTTGCTCAAGCGCGCGCTGGCGCGAGGGACACAGCTACCGCCAAATTGAGGAGTGCTAACACTAATGATTCTTTTTTCTTCTTTACTCGTGTTTCTTCCCGTCAAGACCTCATAGAAAATATTGTACTTCTTGAGCGAATTCAAAGATTTCGTACTCCATATTCTATTCTGAGTCATGTGCGCTCTCGGCGCTCTTACTACTAATAAAAGGTAAGCTCAATTATTCAGTAGTTTTGTCTATCTGCAGTGGTTTGTATCTCCGCGTCCTTCAATAGATACTTAACGAATGATAGGAGGAAATTTGCATTCTCGACAAGTAAGAAGTACTGAGCTCCGATTAACATGATATTCGATAATCGCATAATTGTACCCAGTCCACGCAAGAATATGACTAACTGTCGCAAGAAGCCCACGAAAACTAAACAAATAATAACATTATCAACACACCACTTGAGTGGTCTGACAAGGCTATTCATGTTGCCAAAGCTTGCTGCAACTGCCTAAGGCGGTGAACTTTAGTCAGATGTTTGTGGAACTACATGTAAAAAATAAACAATTACCGTCTGTCCTCTTCGTCCTCTCCTTCTTCACTGAAGTCATCAACACCGGCATGACCTTCCTCGACATGTATATGGTTAGGCTCGTCTCGTTCATATCTAAACTGTTGAGGTTGCAGACATTCTAGTAGTTCGCTATACCTTACAAATTACATATAGTCGAGTAGATTTTCCGCTTAATATAGTGTGCTTATACCGTAGATGAAATGCGTTAAAGTTTGCGAGTGAAGATGCTAGGCCTGTTGCGCCTTCCAATGACGCGCCCAAAATGCCGGCATTACTGGCGTGGCTGTTTTCGCGCAAGTTTTACAGCATTTCACCAACAGTGCAAGCACATTATATCAAGCGGAAAATCTACTCGAATCTGTATCATGCATTTTTATCAATTAGCATACATCAAGGAAGCATGGCCAAGGCCAATGACTATAATAGTATCTGTCAAAAAATCTCACTAAGCGAACGAATATCGAATAATCGTTTGCAAACAGTAAACAAGCCTTTGAATGTATGTTAGAATGATATTAGGTTGTTACAATAAGCCTTGTTACACTTATCTTCTAACGGCGATAAGTCATGCACCTCATAATCTTTGCAGGGCCCCAGGGTACCATTCGATAGAGCAAAGCAAGCACTACAAGACACTATGCCAAAGTTCGCACCAACCTTGACCCACATAAGTTTGCATCCAAAATCAGAGTCGTACTGATGGCTCAAAAAATCGCGAAAAATTCATATCTTTGTTAGAAAAGTCCTACGAATCTCCAACTTGCTCACAAAAATTACCCACTATATTAGACACTCATTTGTACCGTTGTTGTATTTCTTCCCTATCTAGAAAGCGAGAAAAGGAAATTTTTTTTGGTTTTCACAAAAACTAAGCTACGTTGTTCCTATTTAAGTAGCTGTATACTACAAGCCCTTAGAAGTATAATCGTTAATTTTCAGCTCTCCAGAAGCCCTAGTTTTCGAGAATTACCTAATTTAGCACTGAACACTCGAGCAAGAGAAGCTAAATTTGGTATTTTTCGAAAACTAGGGTTTCTGGAGTGGTGAAAATTTACGGTTATACTTCTAAGGGCTTGTAGTACACGCTACATAAATAGAAACAAAATAGATTCGTTTTTGTAAAAACCAAAAAATTTTCCTTTTCTCGCATTCTAGATGGGGAAATCCAGCAACAATACATATGAGTGTCTGATATAGTGGGCAATTTCTGTGAGCGAGTTGGAAATTCGTAGGATTTTTTTGAACAAAGATATGAATTTTTCGCAATTTTTTGAGCCTTTAGTGCGACTCACATTCCTGATGCAAACTTACGGTGAGTCGGAGCTGGTGCGAACTTTTGCAGATCAGCTTGTAGAGCGTGCTTTGCTCTATCGAACGGTACCCTGGAGCCCTACTAACATTATGAAGTTCACGACTTATCGTCGTAAGAAGTTGAAGTATAATGACTTATGTAACAACCTAATAGAAGCTAGAGCTGATACATGTATTGAGTTGTCCCAAAAGTAAACCGTATTAAATAAGTTAAACTGTAATTGTTTTCCTGGCAGACTTGGGGCACCATTCGATAGAGCGAAGCAAGCTCTACAAAACGATCAACAAAGAGCCGTCTAAAGTCGCGATCCAGGTAAAATTTGGGTCCAAAAATCAAAATTTTTTAGCTACCCCAGAAATCGGATCTCCTTCCAGAAAATCCTACGGACTTCCAACTTGGTTTTCATATAGTAAACACATATATTACCAAAAAATGTTTTTAGTTGATTTCTTCCGGAGTCAAAATTGAGAAATAAAGATGGTTTCAAAATGCCAAAATGCCACTTTTTTCGGGTTTTTCGTGTAAAATTTGGTATTTCTCGATTATAAGAGCACCTACAGAGACAAAGTTTTGAGGCTATGCTTAGTAAGGCTTGTAGTATACAGTGAGTGTGAGAGGGCTGAGGGCGGAGTTTGCCATTTTCCGACTACCTCTTTTTCCTCGCTTTATACTCGGAAAAAATGCAGTATAGGCATATTTGAGTACTACTGTCTACTGTATAATGACCAAGTCTGAGTTCCGTACTATTTATCTTCGCAAAAATTCAATTTTCAGGTAATAATTTTTTCCAATTTTTGATCCTTAGGTGGATTAGACATAAGCGGATCTCTTGCGGTCGTTTTGTAGAGCTTGCTTCGCTCTATCGAATGGTACCCCAATTGTGCCAGGAAAACAAAAACAGTTTGATTTGTTTAGAAATACGGTTTACTTTTGGGGACAACCTAATGGAATCAAAAGTATATCAACGCCAAATATTCCCATACGAAAGCAAATCTAAAGTTGCTTTTGGAACTTTTTTTTTGAAAGAATGCTTCTTTGCATAAGTAACATTTAGAAGACGTTAAGCGCATGAGTGTCAGAGTTTGTAGCAATGACATCTACTAAAACTCTTTCAACCCCTCTTACGTGCGTTCTTGATCTGCGAAGCCGCGCTATCATTCCTTGTATAATTTACGGTACGGAGAGTTTGAAATGTTAAGTGCTTAAAGGCAGCGCCCCGCCAAAGTGGAGGTGCCGAGTTTCTGTAGCGATGTTAAAGTAGACCTCCCATAGTCTTTGCGCGTGAGGAATTAGCTTCGACTGTGACGCCGACCAATTGCGCGCGCAGATGCCGGCAGTGCTGGCGCAGTTACCTGTTCAGCAAATTTTACCGTTTCATAAACTGTGCAAGCACACTATATTAAGCGGAAAATCTACTCGACTGTGCGTAAGCGATGGCTGTAGTTTGGTGCAAAAAAGGAGCTCTACCAAGATTTTACGCCAAGCTCGGACGATTACGAGATGCATGCAAGGTAGAGACCAGAGTCGTTGCGGGACCCTGCGCTCATGACTCTGTGCGCTATGCGTGTTCTGGCCTTGCAGTTGGAAATCGCTGTGAGGGCGGCTCGCACTTGCCGTAAAATCCGGGCCACTTTCGAAGCAAATTTCAGGCTTGGTAGACCCCCTCTTTCGCTCCAAACTTCAGTCATTGCTTAGGTAGGGGGTCTACTTCAACATCACCACAGAAACCCGGCACCCATCTTTTTGCCGGGATGCTGCCTTTAACCATTGCATTTTAGTGAAAGTGACGTCAAAGTTGAGAACTGGTGTCTGCTTCTATCCTAGAATTTCTTGTTGCTCCCCATACTCTTCTACCGTTATCAATGGGCGACATGCTTGCGGGCCTCAGGTTTGTGGTCACTTTGCAGAGGAACTAACTCGCGAACACATGTCATAACTTCAGCCAAATACAACAGAAGCGCCTGTTGGTGTTGCCCAACAAACGGCTTCTGGGCAGATTGAGGAGAATGGGGCAGATGTATGTAGTGGCGCTGGCTGCTTCAAGGTAGCTTTTATTTGAAGGTGTCGATATGCAAGCCAGCCGGATGATGTGGGATTTATGTGAACACTTCTAGTGCGGAACTGCAACACGAACTAGAGCTTGTGCATCTGCTTCATACGGTTGTTCCTGCTTGGTGAATGATAAGAAGACACAAAGTTGTGTCGTGATGGCAACGTGGAGCGAATGGACGGTGGGAGACACATCGTCTCCATAATGATGCCGATGTTGATGTGATGATAATGTGCATTTTAAGTGGTAGTCCCCTGCGATGCGACCTCGTGCGGATCATGCAATTTCCAGAGAAAAACAAGAAAATGTAATGGTGAAAACGGATGCAATTGCACGTATGTTTTTATCGCGATTAGTGTAAAGCCAGGGAAATGGTGTCGAAGACGCACGCTTTTGACAATATTTTAAGAGTTATGGAAAACAACATGAATGGATTTTGATAATGACAGTGCTTTGGACGAGATGAACACGAGATGAACTTCAGGCTTGGTAGACCCCCCCCCCCTTTTTTTTACTCCGAAATTCTCTCATTGCTTAGGTAAGGGGCCTACTTTGACATCGCCACAAAAACCTGGCTATCTTTTTGCCTGGACGCTGCCTTTAAGCGTCAAAACCTTCCTTCCATGCGCCAGCACAATCCTCAGCCACTTACCTGCTACGATTTGCAAACCACAGTTGGTATAAAAAGTCGCATTAGCATTTGAAGGGAGGCTGTGAAGTGAGCACTGCTGTGTCAACTTACTGCTTTCGATCGGCCAAACCAATACACACAAGAAACTGCTGGCGCCATGTTAGCTTAACAAGAGATTTCACTTCATGATCGGATTCGTCAGTGTCACTGTGGTCCACTTCAGAGACAGAGCTAAAGATCTTAAATGTTGCATGAAAGGCATTGTAATTAAGCAGATATGCATACATACCCTAGCGACGGCACAAATGCTCGACCACCAGAAGTAATAGATCGTGGTACACTAGCGACAGACTTCGGATGCGAATGTGAATCGTCATCCTTGAAATATAGATGACATGTGGTATTAAAGGTTGCGCATGTGACTCACGGATGACCAAAGCCCTGGTGGGTTTCTTGTGTCTTTTCGCTTTTTAGCCAATGTTACAGCTCGTCTCTTCTTTCCACCTCCCGCCAACTCAAAGATTTTTTTCTTCTCTTCAGTACGTTCCTGTCAACGCAGTTGTTTGAGACTCTACAAAAAGTATGGAGCATTCATTGACTAACGTGCATCAATTGTGTGGAGAGATCGTGGTTGGCTTCACGGAGTCCGCGCACCAAAGCGAAGAGAAAGTATATGATCAAGCTGAAAAACTTATTTCCAAATTTTCGCACGAAAAAAAACGTGCGTTTTCATTCAATATCATAGAGAAAACTCTGATATTGCTGAGAATATTTTGATTAATGAATTTTTATCTGAAGACCCATCATCATCAAAGTTGAGCAAAAGGTATGGCACGCAACCGCCGGATACGACCCCCTCTTGCTAAGTTCCGCCTCGAAGTCTCCTACCCCCCCCCCCCCCCCCACCCCGCATTTTCGTTAGCGCCTACCATACGCATGACAGAAAGGCCCTACCAAGCATAACTATTAGGTTATCTCAAAAGTAAATCCTTTTTTGAATAACTTAAGCTGTTTTCGTCTTCCTAGTATATTTAGGGTATCATTGGATAGAGCAGATCAAGCTCTACAAAATGACCACCAAGGGTCCGCCTAAGTAGCCTTCCATGTAAAGTTTGAAGCCCAAGTCGAAAAAAATTTGTCACCTGAAAATTGGATTTGACAAACAATCCTACAGACCTCCAGCTTGGTCATTATACAGTAGGCATGTAGTATTACACAAAGATGCCTTTACCTTTTTTCCGAGCATAGAAAGCAAGAAACAAAAATTGTCCAAAAATGGCAAACTCCGCCCCCAGCCCCTCCCACCCATGTCATTGTATACTACAAGCCTTACTAATAAGGATAAAGGATAAAGGGTTCGGCGTTTTCAATGCCCTCTGGGGGCATGCGCCGAACCTAACTTCATAGTCGACGAGGCAATTGTATGCGAATATAAAGTTCACGCGTGAGCAAGTAGCTACGCTTATGACGCGGGCCATTGGTGTTCGCAAAATGCCGACATTACTGAAGTGGCTATTTGTTCACGCGCATGGTATACGATGCAAGGCAAAAGCTATACTCATCCTTAGAAAACGAAATTAATTTCAAAATATCAAATGGTTGTTGTCTATCGCTCGGCTGTTCTTCGCTTCATTAGTTCTACACTTAGTCCTTAGTTTTAAGTTTATTTTTCTCTTTCTTAGTTCTTGATTTAGAGGAATAACCTCAAACCTCACAGACATCTCCAAACGGCTTTCGATATGTTTTGGTATGTGAGAACTTAGTAAAGTGTATAGTCGGATAGCAGTGGCGGTCCCAGGATTTCCGTCCGGGGGGGAGGGAGGAGGGAAGATTTTTTTCAAATGAAGGGCGTGGCAACCACGCACTCCGAAAAATTCATCTAGGTGCTCCTTAAAATTTTTTCGGGCCCCAGACCCCTAAAATCTAGAAAAAGGGGGCGTGGCGTCAACCGCGCCCCCGAAAAAAATTTTTACAAGGCTAATTTGAATTTTTAAAAAATTTTAAAAATTGTCTTAATCATTTACAAGATGAAAAAGTCATTTGCACATTTTTATAACCCATGTAGGTAAGTTTCAAAAATTTCGCGACCCATTTCCGGGGGGGGGGGGGCTCCCCTCCCTCCCCCCTCCCTCCCCCCCCCCCTCGGTCCGCCACTGTCGAATAGTGGTTGAAACATCTAGATATGTTAAATTTAAGGCCTTCAATAGAACTTGTTGCAAAGGATTATCGAATAGCCAAAAATTTTGGCTAATGAGAGGTTCGAAGACAATTTGATAATATTTGTTGTGAGAAAGCAGCACTGAATGTAAATAGGCAAGGAGTGTATTGTTTGGGAATAGTGTAGGAAGTGTGATCTAACTGGCACATTGGATAGAGAAATTCCTATTAAGCGTGGAGGTTTGAACAGTGGCAAAAGACTAGGTACGATGAAAACTTTTACAGATAAGCGAGTGAATGGGGCACTTCGCCTGAAGCGGGTTTGATAGAAATTTGGAAGCTTTTGGGTTAGTTTTGTAGAGTGAACTTTTCAAGAAAACTTTTTTTTGCAATTTAGGAGTCGAAAAGACAGCAATAATTTTTTTTGGGAAAGTGATTTATTAGGTTGGTGATTCATACCTGCACCAAAATAGGTACAGACCGCAATAATCCGAAATTGTCTTACATCCTGCATAGGATTTGATATATCATCAGATAGAGCAAACCTAAATCTACAAGAGTGTGCTCAAATACCTACACCAGCTTTGATCCACGTAAAGTTTTAAGCCAAAAACTGAAAGAAAAATACGCGTTTGAAAACCTTAAAGGCAGCGCCCAGGCAGATCTGGACACGTGGGGCTTTTACGTGGAAAGTACTTTTGGAGCCCTAACTAAGGCACTGCCAAAGCGGCAGCCCAAGTAGTGCCCTAATGGCCGAGATATTCCCCTCGAAACTGGCCCCCGCGAACGTATTCGCATGGATTCATGGCAGTTTCGCGCCAGGATCCACGCTTTACGCCATGAATCCATGGGAAACACGGTCGCGGGGTCCAGTTTCGAGGGGAATATCTCAGCCATTACAGCACTACCTGAGCTGCCGCTTGGGCAGTGCCGTAGCTAGGGCCCCAAAAGTACTTTCCACATAAAAGCCCCATAACCAGATCTGCCTGGACGCTGCCTTTAAGACAAATCAAAACAAAATTATAACTCCGTTGAAAAAACTCCTACAAAAGTTCTTGCTTGCTCACGCGTAGACATTTCACGCAGGACATCTATCTATGTAGTTGTTATATTTTTTCTCAACTAAACGATGAAAAAACGTTTTTCTGTTTTTGCCAAATTAGTCTGAGATGTTCTAGCGCTAACAGTTGTATACTACATGCCTTTAGCAGTAAAACTTTACAATTCAGACTTCTAGAAGAGCTAGTTTACGAGAAGTAGAATCTAGCTCTCCTTATCAGAATTTTTCTCGCCTAGTTACCAAAGTTCGATATTTTCTCGTTAACCAGCTGCTGTAGAAGGATTAAAATTCACTCAGGCTTCTAAAGTCCTGTAGTATATAACTGTCAGTGCTAGAACATCTCAGCACTGTTTTGGAAAACATGGAAACTTAGTTTCTTCAATTTCTAGCTAAGAGAAAAATACAGCAACTGCATAGAGAGATGTCTCATACGAAATGCCAATGCATGAGCAAGTCAGAAGGAAAGATTTTTTTAAACGGACTTTTAATTTTTTTTCTCTGTTTTTGGGGGGCGCTAAGATCTTTTTTGTTTTTGACTTGAATCTTCGCTTGGATCAAAACTGCTGCAAATTTTAAGCAATATCTTGCTAACCTTCCTCTACTGAGTGGTAGAAATATGTATTATTGCTGTCTGCACCTATTTTGGTGCAGGAATTGTGCATCAACCTAACAGGAAAAGTTGGCTCAGTAAACTTCAGGAATGGCGAAATGTTCGTTTTACTCCATTTGCAATGAAGTAAAACGAACGCTACTATTTGAGAAACAGGGAAAATAACGGCATGAATAGAAGCTTGACGAGTAAGATAACTCACACTTCTCACACCTTTGCTGAAAAAAACACCACTCCGGATACTAGGAGGGAATCCGTGGGGCTGACTAGAGTATTTTAAGATGGAGCTATCCTTAGTTGTTTGTACTCTGGAAGTAAGCTATAACCAGGGTCAAACGTGGTGTTCGGCGTGCCACACCTGGGGGTCGCATTGGGGGTTCAGGGAGGGGGGGGGGGTATCAAGGTAAATCCGATGTTAGCATAGCATGCTAGGCCCGGCACAGATCGTCTGGAAGCAGGTTGGCCTTTGTTTTTGAAGCAAAAAGCAAAGGGGCTATCGTATTTGCGAAGTCGGGGCCGACACTAAGGATAAGCGCCATTTAATCGAACAAAAGCTTTCCGAACAGGTTATTACACAATTGACATGCTCTGTGCGTATGGCAAAAAGGCGCGCGATTCAAAAGCAAGGTTAAAACAAACAAATTGCTTGTTTACAGCGTCCACATAATCATATGACCCCAAAATTGAACCGTACACATAAAAATTAATTGCGGAAGAGTAGTTTCCAAGTCTCCTCTCTTCTTAACCTCGGCATTGTTAGTTAGTATATTGTGAGTAGTTGGTAAGCCAATCGAGGTTAGTATTTATTAGTAAGTGGCGGCCTAACGTTTCGAGCTATTCGTCTTTTTCAGAGGTCTAAAGTGGTAAGAGATTTATGATTTTGTGTCTACCCCACCAAAAACCTCCTCCATCCCCGGCTAGCCTCGACGCTGCCCCAGAAGGGAACGGAAGGACGGCCGCTTTCAACATCTGCGCGCCGGCGGTGGAGGAGGTTGGTTCGTCTTTCACGTTATGGAGTTTTTGTTTGTAGCATTCTGGGGCAACGTCGAGGCTAGCCGGGGATGGAGGAGGTTTTTGGTGAGGTAGACATAAAATCATAAATCTCTTACCACTTTAGGCCTCTGAAGAAGATGAATAGCTCGAAACGTTAGGCCGCCACTTACTAATAAATACTAACCTCGATTGGCTTACTAACTACTCACAATTGCGGAAGAATTATGTAAAAAGATTTGAAAAATTATGTGAAAAAACGTCTTTTCCAGAACTAGTGCGTCTCCAGACAGCCACCAGACAATCTAACAAGGAAACGATACTCGGTGTCCGTGGCATTTTGAGATGATATGTATACCATTACACTCGTTTTGGAACACTGATTCCGAATCTGACTTCTGTTTCTGCTAATCGCTTCAAAAATTTTATAATGGATCGCGCGGATTCTAGTTGTCCCGTCAAATGGGTTCGGAGCGCTGGCGCTATCGGTGCACTGTGGTCTAGTGGTTAGTGCGATAGCCTCAAGGGTTGATGCAGTTGCAGGTTCGAGTCCTTTTGTGTTTTCCACTTTTGCATTGCCTCAATTAACCTTCTTTCGCATCATCGAGCTAAGTGAACGCCCTTACTCTTCAAAAAATGTGGAAATTTGGAAAAAATGATTACTATTTGAGCTAAATTGTATCCAATGATCATAGTTCAAGTAAATTTTCTCGAACAAGCTTAATTGAGGTAATGCAAAGGTAAAAACACAAAAGGATTTGAACCTACATCTGCATCAACTTATAAGGCTATTGCACTAACCACTAGACCAGAAAGTGGCCGCGGTAGAAGCCGTTCCAATGACCATATTTCCCTTGAGCAGCCAAACTTGGCTCGAAATTCCCCCATAACTTCTTTCAGAGAAACGATTAGCAGAAACGGAAGGCAGATTCGGAATCAGCGTTCGAAGACGAGTGTAACGGTATGAATCTCGTCTCGAAAAGCCACGGACATTGAGTATCGTTCCCGTAAGATCGTGCATATATTTCTGTCACTTCACATGAGTTTCGGAATTCCTTAGCATGGACGAATTTCCCGGTCAAAAATCTGTCCCTGAGCATGAGGACATTTTCATATCATTGCCTTTCCTTTGTTTTCTGCCTTAACTTCTTCATGAATGGCATTGTTAGATATCGCGCTCCAGTGCCAAGCTCCTGCGCATGAGCAGTATTCAGTTCCACTTTGGATTTTCACTCTTATCTCATGTTTCTTCTTTCGGACTAGTAACTTTTCATTGTTTTCATCTTCTCCTGAGTCGGTAAGTCAAAGGGGACTTCGTAAAACTTCCAAAAGCAGAAGGGACTTCGTTTTCAAAAAACCTAGAACGGACTCGTGCCGGGCCCTGATAACATGGCATTGGTAACAATGTCAGATAGGCCCATCATGCAAAATACTAGCACATTGATGTTCGACCCATTATCGTATACGTATAGTAAACATAATCAAAGGTCTATAAAACATAAGAGCAGCGTCTTCGTAATTAGCAAGTCAAATAATCCCTCTGGTCCAAGTTTCAGCAAATTACGAGGTTTTCAAAATATTAGACCACCTAAGTAAGATGGTCGTCTTACATTTTTTATGTTACTTTGTTCCAAAGGTAAGTTGACTACTTCTTTTTGCGCTTACTACGAAAAACTACGATTTCTTTGCTCACATTAGAAATCTACTTCAAATGACCTCCGAAAGAGGAGCTAAGAGCAAGCCAATTTCTCGTTTGTTCCATTTTTCGTTTTTAACATCTCAGGCTAGAGAAGACCAATTGGGCTCAAATCGCTCTAATGTAGATCACGAGGCTCGGGCTATCGAATATATACACTCTTGTCGCCTTCCCTTGCGATTTACGTAGTAGCGCAGGCTTAGAATGTTACCGTATTTCAACATTTTCGCAGTAATCTTGCCCTATAAGAAACGTTTTCATATGACATTCCTGCTATATAAAGAAGAAGGTAAGCAGTAACAACGATAAAAAACGCAATTAATTGATTGGTGGTAAGTTAACGAGGAGTGGCACAACCTCTAAAAAGCTGTGGCAGCCACACCTTTTCTGGGGCTGTACCGCATCCCATTAACTTATTCCCAAAGAGAACTTTGGGGAAAACGATGGCCAGAATTTCGTAGTTTTTATAGAAGTGAATAGAGCTGAATTCGTTTTCTCTCTTTTAAGCAATATTTGCTGGAATTACAACCACTGCAGGCGAAAAAGGAGAAACGAGATTTTTGCTGGCTTCTAGTTCCAAGGTTTGATGAATATTTGTAGCAGGAAGTAGTGCTTTGTAATAAGTACAAAAAGAGGTAGCCAATTCACTTTTGAAGTATCGCTAAGTATGTTATAAAATGACCACTTCACTTTTCGCTAAAACTTGACTCAAAGAAGTTATTTGACATGATAATACGAATATGTTATAGTTATGCTTTTTAGAGCCTTTATGTCGTGCTTATGGTAACCGCCCACTAAGACCCGAGCTGCTCGAGTCGGGCTTACTTCAAAGGAGACAAAAGGTGCATTTATATTTACACTAGTTGACTTACCCGGCTCCGCCCGGCCCTGTCATTATTATATTCGTAATCAGCATAATCGATTACCCCCTGTGCCAACTCCCAACCCCGTAGCTCAAATTTTGCAAAAAATCGATAAAATCGATATCGATCGATGACGAAAAGTAGCCTATGACACCCGCCGGGGCCCGAAGTGTAGGTGTGCCAAGTTTGGTCCGGATCGGTTCAGAAATGGAATTTTCTATGCAAAACATACGTACAGACAGACATACAGACAGACAGACAGACAGACAGACAGGCAGCTTTATATATAAGATTTATTTACCTCAAGTCGGGCTTACTTTGCAGGAAACAAGAGGTGGGTTTATACAGGGTGTCTCAAAAGTCTTTAAGCCTAGTACTTCTCAGCTGCGACTTTACGAAGCAACATTGGCACATGAAATTTAGAAGGAATCTTGTGAAGAACCTACAAAATAACAAGGTACACTCAGATTTCGAAAAATTCTCATTTGGCCTTCACGCAAGCCCTCATACTCCTGCGGAACGCATGCACCGTGGCAGGCAATAGTTAACGTCGAGAAGGTCTCACACCTTCTGAAGCAAGCGTTCCAGACTGCCCAAAATTTAGTGTGGAACAGAGCAAACCTTGCTGTGCATAACTAATCAAAAGTCAAAGGCTTTCAAGCCAGCGACTAAAAGCACGTTAATCTGAGAAGCGCGCCTATGAAATTTAACAAAAGTGTCAAAACGTAGCAATCTAGTTGAACATCAAGAAAACAGCAATTATGGTGTACATGGATTGGCTTTAAAATGATGTTTCAGTAAGCAATGCAGAGGTTACAACCAGAATTAGTGACTCAAACTGAATTGGTGTTAAAGTTTTCAGCTTTCTCGGATTTTTGTTCCCGAGAACTTTTTTTTCTCAATGGCACGGCACTACTTTAAGTGTTCGTATCTTAATCCCACATTAACGAACAAGACCACTGATTGATTTTGCACTGTAAGCGTAAAGTGAAACTAGCTCTACGATATGCAGTTCAAGATTCCGCAAGAACTTCAAAGGCAAAAAAGTCATAGATGTTTGAATAAAGGGTACGTTTACATTAAATCGTCCTCAAAGCCGTAGTATCATTTGCTCCAAGAGCAATATCTTGAGGATGTGCAGCGCAAACGGTATGATTTTCTTGAGGAATACTGAAAACTAGACAAAGTATGCATACGCAAAATCTGACCGATAAGCAAGGAATACTAACAAAGTTACTACGTTGGAAAGTTAGGCTTAAAGACTTTTGGGACACCCTGTATTTACAATTATTCACAATTCTTGAGCATGAGCACTCTTTTGTAGCATCTGCTTGCAGTGTTTCACTGAAATTTGTTGGTAATAAGTACGATCAAAAGAATGTTATGAGCGTAATCATTCCCTCACGATGTAACCTTTGATTCAACTGGCCTGGCTTTGGAAAGGCGGGGCCTTGAAACCTAACTAAAGCCGCTTGCGCCCGCGACGCACCTGCGTCTCTCTCGCGCGAGTGCTCTCTAATCATTACCTAGCCTTAATTAGGTCACGAAACCCCGCTTTCCAAAGCCAAGCCAGTTGAATCAAATGGTACTCATTCTGCAGATTACAGAAGAAGCTCGGATGGTCGATGAAACGGTGCATGGTACAACGGTACATAGGGTGCATAGTTCCACAGTCAAATAAAATGCTGTTTAGGCTACAGGTGCACACAGACTATTCGATACTGCCTATTTAATTTTGAACTTGATAAGGAGAACTTACAGCAATAGCAGCAGGACTGGTATGACAATTCCGGGGGATGTCATATACTTTATCGCATCTACCAGCGATGCATTCAAATTTTCATGCAGCACATCGGTGATCACGCTGTAGAAATGTGGCTGATTCCTGGAATGGTAGTAGCTGTATTATACTAGCTATACGATACTATCTTTCGTTGATCAAGGTGGAAAAGGTGGATGTATGGCCGTGCTGACTCGGCGCTTTCCCAGCGCCGGCAAAGTTCCGGCATTTTGGATGGAGCTACATAAAGTTCTGTACATCATTGCATTTCTTCACTTACCCGACGTTATTTGAAGGCTTTACTCATAGTATCATGTACTTAAAAGCGGCTGATTTCAATCAATACGCGGTCATCTCGTTGGGGCGGGGCATATTACGGACCCTTCTCGGCCAGGCATTGATCAAAATCGCCATCGCAACCTCTGGTAGTACTTCAACGGCGCTGAGACAGCGTCGAGACAGCACGACGCTGTCTCAGCGTCGCCGGGCTCCAGCACTCTGGAAGGGACCTAAGCAATTTGGAAAGCTGAAAGTGAAGTAGTGAATTTGCTAGCAATTGTAAAGGAAAGAATTATGAACGAGCGGGAGCAAATGTATAGAATTATTCATACTTGGTACTATTTATTTCGATAGATTGATATTATACCAGCCGTAACATGCTCTGCTGTGTCAACCACCATGCATAAATTTAAGAAGCACCATCAGAAGGGTCGAGCAAGGGGTGTGGCATACGAAAGCCTAATACGGTCTCCCTTCTCCCCGCCCTCTAGGTGGGTTTTCAGTACAATCCCCTCCCTTTCCCCCTACCCTACTCCCTCCTTACTCGAGACGACATCGTGCAGCTATCGCGCAATTTTTTACGCACTACCGTAACCCAATATTCTGTGCGTATCATATGTAGGGTCTGGAGAAACCGTTTTTAGAAGACAAGTATCGAAGAGAAGCTTCTACTGTGAAGAGAAGAAGGTTAAGTGAGAACGATACGAAACAGAGCGGTGTTTGAATTCTTTGAAAGTATGTTAAGGGGTTTATTACTCCCACTAAAATGGTGCTGCAGCCACAGCTTTTGATGAGCGCCATACCTCATTAACTTACCTTCAAAGAGAATTTTGGCAGACTTCTCACGCATAGTTTGACAGCTCAGATTTGCACTATGCATATGAGTAATTTGAGGCTGATTCGTCTTCCTTATTCTGAGTACTAGTGGGTGAAGGCGCATCCATCGGACTTGAAAAGTGGGACGAACAAGATTTTGGCTGGCTTCAAATTCCACAGTTTGGCGGTTATTTAAAGTGGGATTTCCGACATGTGAACAGAAGGAAAAAACAGGTAGAAGCTCATTTTCAAAGCAGAGTTAATCATGTTTGAAAATTACCACTTCATACAGACAAAAAGCAGAAGGAAGGAAGGAGTATCCGGAAACATAAAAATTCGTTGAGACTTGGTACAAGAGGAAAGGGGAGGCGTTTTGCGATCTGCTTCTACGAGAAGAATGGTACTTGTTGCGTGGTAAGGCCTCTTTTTTACTTATGTTAGGTATACGGTCAGATCAGTAGAAAGAACTCAGACAAATCACCGGGACTTCCGCAGAACATGCAAAGCGCTTCCGCAGCACTTTCTTAACCATTAAGAAAGTGCACGGGGGGCAAATCCGGGGTTTCTGCAGGAAGTCGTCAGAGCGACTGGAAAACGAAACTTCCCTAGCATTTTACATGCGCTGCGGAAATGCTGCAAAATCGTAGCGTTTCCGCAACACTTTGACCTGCATTTCCGCAGGATTTTGAGAGCGCATGCACCTTGCGATTGCGAAATAGCGAACGTATCTTCGCTGCAGTCCATGGCGTTTGGATGACTACATTCATTATGATTCACCTGTGGATAGTATACTTGCGTTTGAATCGAATAAAAAGTCGATCATTCGAATAAAACATTCGAATTTAAACGCTTTGAAACTCGATATTCGGACTTTTTCCAATTCGAACGAAAGAAACTCGAATAAGAAAAAAAACTGGGTTTCGAATAAAATTCGAAAACTCGAATAAAATAAGTTTCAAATAGATTTTATTCGAATGTTTTATCTGAATGTTTATTCGAATTCGTATTCGAATAAAATCCGACTCAAATTATTGGTTTGTTGCAAAGCCAACTGCAGTGTATCAAGCTCGGTTCGTCTGCCTTTTTTCTGCAATACTCGATGGTGCATCTTTTTGCAGGCGTGATCAGCTTTGAACTGTATAAAAACTCGCGTTTCTCCAACTGCTTGCGACAGAATTAGATGTGGAATTGATTGATTACTTTTTCGATCAATGAGATAGCTCGCAATGCTATTGGCACCAAATCAGCAAAAAAAAACAGGTAGTTAAAGCTTTTGATGCAAGTTCATATACTGGAACTGTGTTGACATGCCTGTTTCTCTTCCTTTGGTTGCTTATACTTCTGTCGCAAAGGTCCACATTAGTGAACACTTTAGCTTGTAAACCTCATGTTGCACAACTGCCTTTATTCTTAATCTTACAAATTTTTCGCATTGACGGTGTATTTTGAGTAGAGAACATTGCAGCTGTAGTGGATGATTAGACGGTTGATGACTGCAGTCATATCATCTTGCAATAAAGTTTCGTTCAGTAGATAGTAGTTTTGTTAAGGTGAACTCTAGACTTTTGCTTAGGCTTGGAGGCATTCTAACACCGTGTGCTTTCAGTCTACCAACTATGGTAAAGGCAAACCCGCAAGAAGACGGTCCACATCGAGAAATACGAATTTTGATTAAGATGGCATCGCACATACTTCATCGATAGCCGGACGCGAGTTGCCAGTTACCAGGGCCCGTAGTAATTCCCCGGTCGTAAAGGTCACGACGTTCGAAACATCGCACGTATCCAGCACGTGTCGTTTCGGCCGCGATTCGTCGCGCGCCTATCTCTTATCACGGCCGCGCGGCGAGATCGCGGGGCGTCGCGACTGCAGAACGTGCTCGTCCTCGCGCACAGAGGACGAGCACGTCGTGAACGTCGTCACGTAAGGGGCAAAGAAATAAAAATGTGGGCCCAGCGTGGAGTCGCAGGAAGGCGCAACTGGCTAGGGGTCGAGTACGCCGAGTTCGCGTCCTGTGTGCAAGGACCGTAGACACACAGCAGTTTGACGCACGCCAGATACAATCGATATCAACAGCTGATAAGCGCCCCAAATGTCAGAGCGCCGAACGACTTCCTACATTCTGCGAATTCCTGCTCCTAAATCTTTTGTAAATTGGAAAATGTGAGATTATTTTGACTACAAATTACATCAGAATAATATTTACTCGTATTTAATCTGTTTTCTTTTTGCATTGTTCTCGTCGCACTTCACTTATGCATAGAATCCTTTCTGCATGACTCAATTTCCTCATTTCATTCATCTTAATACCCTTTAACGTATATTTGTTAAATTGCTATTCATTAGCTGTGCGCTCAGTGTTTCCCTTTTCTTGAGGGAGGGAACAGTCTAGCGTCATGGCTAGTGGAATGGCTCACGTTTACAAGGAAAGTAGTTGTTGCTTCACAAATTTCCAAATCACTTGTATATGATATGTTATCTATTGCATTGCCATTTTCCTCCACTAGCAAAATCTAGTAAATTTTGTTCATACACATAAAAAACTAATTAGCCAGCAATTTGCAGAAGATAGATTTACATGATGATCGTACCCGCAACCTCTTGCGCTGCGACGTCCAGCATTGGCACCGCATTATTCCCTACACTTGTAGAAACGCCTTCACTATGATTTTTGATGGAGAGTATGGTGAAGGTAGTGCATATCTTTACCATTTACACAGAAAATGTAACACATCAAAGCTTGCTTATCGATTTGCTTAGAAGATATTGCAAGCAATTGTTCCATCTTGCATCTTGCTTCGCTGACTTCAACCTTGATCTAATTTTGGAAGTGATATCAATAGCGCAGTGACAGTGCGCGCCGTCGACGATCAACGAGAGTTTGATCGCGCGTGCGCTCGTAAGTTTACGGCGACCAAAGCATGTCGTGAGCAGCACGTCCTTTGGTCGGAGACGTCGTGTCCTCGGTTTCTTTACATTACGACATATTTCGGGGATTTATTAGGTTGGCACATAAGTAATGCAACTTTTTATATAACTTTTGTCTATTTGAACGTAGCGCATCCATTTTTTGGCAATATAAGGAATATGATGTAAGCTTCTAATGCACACATTTTTGCCGAATTTTACCATCTTATGTGAGGATTACGTTAGGTTTACGGTACTATGAGAAAAATTTTAGAACGCATCAGATTGTGCTGAAACTTGGCCTATAGGGCTTATTTGACATGCTGATCACAGAAATGAGATCCGTTTCGCATGAAAAGACCTCGTTCGTGAGATCAAAAGATGAATTTTATTTTAGCGACAAATGAATATGATATTCGTGTTTACCGCATAGGATTACCCTATAGTGCAAAGTTATAGCGAATTCTGACTCTTCGTAGCTTAGTTATTGATAAATTGCCTTCAAAACTTGACGCATTTGACTTGTTCAACTTCTCAAAGGCGCCCCACCTTAATTTGTGTTTAAATTTGATTTCTTTTTCGCTGATTCCAATGTGCCAATTTCCTGCTACATGCTGCTTATAATTGCTTTTTCATATGTTTGAATCAGGTTTCGTAGAGCTTCATGTTTGCCAAGAAATCGTGAAACCTCGATTTTCAGCAGTTTTCAAAAAATGCTTAGATTTTTTGTACTACGTTATCAAAAATCAAACGTTTTGCGCAGACTTGCAGCTTACATCACGATCTACATGATGCCACAAAATGAGGTTGCTACATGAAATAGGAAGAAAGTTACGGGAAAAGTTGCAAAACCTATGTGCTAACCTAATACTACGAATCCAGATGTCTTCAAATGTAAAGCCAGCTTACACAAATGTATAGCGTGTACAACATAGATATATGCCCTGCTTTAACTATTGCCAAGCCACGTCGCTACTGGAATCGTTTGAAGTATGCTCGAAGCTATAGGGGCATTCGTGCTCGCTTCGCGGAATGAATTGCAGATCTGTCCACAAATAGCTTATACTAGACAAGAGGAAAGTCCATAATAAGCAGGCGATGGA